TCTCTCTCTCTCTCTCTCTCTCTCTCTCTCTCTCTCTCTCTCTCTCTTTGCGTCTCCAGGTAACTCTGCGCATTAATATTTTTATAAGCGCCTTACACCATTTATATTATTTTCGTTGTTTTATCCTTGTAATACTTCCACATGCCTTCTGTCAATTCTAAGTTTATTCTAGCCATGCATGAGTAAATATGTTCACTTTCCCAAACGCATATATGTGTGTGTGTGTGTAAGTTTGTAGAGCTTTTCTTCTATTTATAACTCAAAGTATATATTTTCGTAACTACATTAGCTGGCTGTGACTCAGTACACACAATAAAAATGAAACGCTAAAAATGAATTTACATACGTACGGGCGTTAGGTTGATGACATGATTTTTTTTTTTCTTTTTTGTATTGACTTATTTGGAAATTTTTCATATCTTCTCTAAACGTAATAAATAATACGTTAGATTATTTGAACAATTTACAAAATGCAAATTTTTTCCATTTATATCGATTTATATAAGCATCGCAATGACTGTTATTATTGTCACACACACACACACACACACAAACACACACACATATCTAGGTGCCAGCAAAGCATAACTCTTCCCTAAGATGATAAATGTGATGATTGCAAGCGTATGCATAATGATGGAATGTAAACGATATTCATTCGTTGTACTTGTATCCCACTTTAAAAGATTAGATGTATTCCGGAAATCTATCAAACAAATGCAGTCTGAATGAAATTATTTTAAATATGTTTGCATTGAATTTTTTTTTTTTTTTTTTTTCCATATTTTTGCAAATTATATGCAATTACTTATGCGCAAATAGCTTTCGTGTGCACATACATTTTCACAATAATTTAATAGAAAAAAAAAAGAAAAAGTAAACTTAATATACCATAAAAAGTAATTAAACCTACAGTTAAGGCCAATCATTTTCTGTTATACATATTCAGTTAATAATTTTTGAAATTATAATTTCAATTATTTAACGTTATGCCATTTTCAACGAAACCTTCTACTCTTGTCGCACGCATTATTTATGCAGGAAATTAAATTGACGTAAATAAATTCTGCAAAATATTTCTTTATTATTATGTATAGGAGGCGACTTAAGACAGTGTATACATATGTAATTCAAACCGTTTTACGATACCCTTTAAATGTATTCCTTTACCCTACCATGCCACATTTAAATAATGACGTCCAATACCATGCTAGGTGAACCCGTCTCCCAAATATAAAAAAGTAAAAGCACTATTGTGGGCACCGGCTCAGTATAAAGGTATACATATAACGACTTTTCAAAATGAGATGTGACAGGGGAAGTACTCGAAAAAGCAATCCGATTAGCACAATTTTCCACAGTGTTCATCCTTGGGCCAAAGCACCTCAGTCTACCAAATGTCATCAAAACATCTCAAAATTGGCGACCTGTAGGTTGAATATAATGAAACGAGATGGACGGACGGCCAAACAAGCTTAATTCGATTCACAAACTTATTCCGAATCGATCAACATAGTAAATGGTGGATCTATTTCAACTCTTTCTGGGTTTTGTATACATCCGCACAAACTTAATACAGTCTTATACCACAAATAGTGTAGGGTAATGCAAGTAACGAAATTAAATACCCATCATCATCTCAGTTTGATAAGATAGGTAAGAGGAATAAAAAGCTTTGATAGGACAAAATTCATAAACCAGGTTATTATTTCTATGCTCCTATTAGGTAGTTTTAGAATGTTAGAGACAGATTTCATTTAATATAAAATGAAAAAACAATTCAAAATTGAAGTAATTTAAGTCTCTCTATCTT